AGTTAACAGTTCTTTTACATCCGGCTCACTGATATTTGATTTAGGCGTTCGCCCTTTCCCATCAACTAATGCTCTCTCTCTCTCTCTCTCTCTCTCTCTCTCTCTCTCTCTCTCTCTCTCTCTCTCTCTCTCTCTCTCTCTTTCTCTCTCTCTTTCTCTCTCTCTCTTTCTCTCTAACAGTAGCCTTGCAGAAAAGGAATTATTAATAAAAAAGTTGCCCTTGCGAGAATCCTCTTTTTCAGGGTTATAATTAACTGTTTTCAGCTGAATGCTGACTTATTGTGTTGAATATTACTTCCTGGTTAAAATCAGCAGAAAAACATCCACGAAGTAAAAAACATATGTATATATTTTTTTCTTGTACGCAAATAGCCTATCCATGAAAGCCAACTATTTTAAAACTATTTTTTTGGAACACATCCATTTGATTTTTCAATTTAAAAATATGTTTACAATTCCCCTGAAAAGAAATGTCAAGTTCATTAAGGAAGCTAAATGAATTACTGAAGCAAGAACTGCCATCACTGCACTCAGTACATTTCCACACGTGCTCCGTCTCCTTTTTAAGCAACCAACGAAGAGTTAACATGCTAAGGTGCCAGTTGCAACCTGATTAAAAGTGCTCTTCAGTGTTGAATATCTCCCATATTCTTTACCCCCTCCCCCCCCCCCCGGGTTTCATTAGTCTTTCAGTGTATTGATTCCCTATCTGTTATGTTATGGCTCCCAACGATAGCCGAGGTGGAGGATTTTAAAATAACAAAGAAGTTGCGTCTTGTGTTGTGGCGCACTTGACCGACTTGACGTTTTACCCCACCAGAACATCACTATAATACATACATGAAACATACACAGTGATAGAGGAGGCTGGATGTTGTATATAATAATACAGGGGGCTGAATATTGTACATAATAATAGAGGTTGCTAAATATAGTACATAAAAAAAGAGGATGCTGAATGCTGTACATATTAATAGAGGAGGCTGGATGTTGTACACAATAATAGAGGATGCTGAATATTGTATTTTGGCCACATCATTGTGGCTTGGAAAAGACGGTGATGGAGGGTGTCGTTTGTGGAAGGCCAGGCAGGTGTCGACCACCGCGAAGATGGATATAAGACATTGAAGATGAATTGGCATCGAAAACACATGGGGCGGGAAAGCTGGCTAGGGAAAGGAATACTTTCAGGTGTGCCGTGAAGAGAGCGACATTCTGTAAAGGACTTGCTGATTGATGATCATGATATTGCTTTTAGTTCTAGCAATAAATTGCTTGACCTTGCCAAGAGGTCTCTGGTACTGTCTATGTGCCACAAGTTTTCCATCGTTATAGGTAACTTGCACATTACCCACCGAGTGCTGATGGTCTTGAAAATTATGGGCGCTCTTCCCATATGCCCATACGCCCCAAGACGTGGAAAGGGATCTTTACTTTACTTTACTTTTATAGGTAACTTGCGTGGATTCATTTAGTCAATTATTCTCGCTGGATCTCACATTTTATTACACCTCAGCAAATAGTGCTCTATATTTTTCTGCTTGAGGCATAGATAACAGGTTTTGTCATTTATAGTAAAGCAACTCCCTCTTCTAAGTTGTAGTCTAAGAAATTTTCGATTACATGGTATTTTAAGTTTATATGTTATCTGACTTTGTCTTTAAGGAGCATTTGATTACTGATATGAAAGTCTGCCCCTCAGACTTTGGTCCCAAATAGTACAAGCTAGGTGTTGATTATTTGTTCCATAATGCAAGTCGTGGAAAAGGCAGGAGAGGGAGGCATTTAAAAAAAAAAAAAACACAGAAAATGGCTATTATTTAGTAAGCTACTGTGGTTTAGAGTTTGGTGAAATGATTTCACAACGCATTCCTCCACGTTAACAAGGGTTCGCTTCCCGCGGTGAGTAGTTTAGGGGATTAAAAAAAAAAGATTGCTTTCGTGGCTTTTAGAGTCTTGCCATGGAAGATAGTGGGGTCCCACGTAATATTCCTATAGTTAGCTGTTATTACTTTGAAGCACACTTATATTGTGGAGACGGTACATTTTTTTTAAAATTAGGGTAAAACGCACAATAGGCAAAACCTCCTGCTAGAAAATAACCTACCCAGAATGCAAAGCATGTCATTGAAGCCACCGACGTTTTAACCGGAAGTTGCAGCAGACGTCATTCACTCTCTCTTTATTCTATCGCCATATTGGATTGCCAACCAAAAGGGAGCACAACAGCTAGGCAGTTTCTGAAATTCTCGACCGCAGTGTTATCATGGTTTAATATTTCTGAATTAGGTAAGTGGCACACATTTTATTTATCAGTGCTGTTTATTATACAGGTAAAAGTATAAACGTTTTAAGGTAAATAGTGCATAAGAAAAATGTTGCCCAATTTTTGTGAATTTTGATTTTGTCATTTTTTGAATTTGATTTTGATTTAGTTTCTTATGTATGAAAGTATGTATGAAACTATTGAACCGTATTTTTCCTACCTACTCAAATCATCGAAAGCCTTCATAACACGCACACATTTTAACACTAATCAGATAACTTTGTTGGTTGTAAATGAGACATTATCTCGCTTAAAGTGAGTGTTTTGCTGACATGGGATCTGGAAATTTATGGACGTTAGTTTGACTGATTTATTATTATTATAGTTTTTATAATTTTAAAATTATTGTTTAATTAATTGTTTGAACTTTATTGAAAGCTTTAGTAGCGTATTGTGTTTGCGACAACGAAACATTTAATAGTCTTTCTTGATTTAATACAAATATCATATATCATATTATATGATATGAAAAATATGATATGCAAATCAAAACATATTAACATTAACATATATATCCACGTTGTCAGTATAATAGAATCAATTATTACTAGTTGTTACATGTCTTGGTGGTAACAACCACCATAAAATCCCCCAAAATTAGTATGAAACTGAAACTGGCTCTACTGGCAAACTTGGCCGGTAAGCTGGAACTGCTTAGGCCGGCTTAGCGGGGCTTAGTGGGAGTTATGTCCCTTGGCCAAACTCAAAACAAGCGGCGGAAAAAGTCACGAATCAAACGGCATACTTACCTATCATCATCCGGGTGCGTGTAGGGTTGCGTAGGGTATCTATCATCGTCCTACGGTTGCGTGTAGGGCTGCTTATTGCGTGTAGGGTTGGTTGTTTGCGTAAGATAGATGAGGGGTAGGGTTTAGGGTGTAGGGTTAGGGGTAGCGTTTAGGGTTAGGTGTAGCGTTAGATGTGACAATTGTGACGCCGTAGTTCCCTACAATCGAGCATGTGTCGCATGCACGCGCAAACAGTCGACGGACGGCGGATGCTACTGACGGACAATTCGCCGCCACCGATTTGGGGCACCAGCCGCCGCGCGCTATTGCCGTCATATTTGGCACACTTCCAGTGGTGCCACTCCCACAAGCATCAGATTGTCGGCCAGTATTTCCACCTCCTACGTGAATATTTTCACATCATCTAACCCTAACCCTACTCCCTAACCCACACCCACACCCCTAACCCTACCGCTAACCCAAACCCTACGCAACCCTACACGCAACTGTATAATGAGGATGATGATAGACACCCTACGCATCCCCACACGCAACCGTATGATGATGATAGACACCCTAAGCAGCCCTACACGCACCCGGATGATGATAGGTAAGTATGTCATTTGATTCGTGACTTTTTCCGCGACTTGTTTTGAGTTTGGCGAAGGGACATAACTCCCACTAAGCCCTGCTAAGCCGGCCGAAGCAGTTCCAGCTTACCGGCCAAATTTGTCAGTAGAGCCCTGAAACTAGTAAGTTAAGTACGTAGTATTAAAGAATCAGTCTTTGTTGAGTACACATGATCCAACTTTCATGATTGAAATCTTGAGGGATTTGTGTAGTTATTTTTCATATTAAATGTTTACATTTTACAATAAAAATATGGGCTGTCCTCTGAATAAGGGTCCCAAAATAACAAGGCTGAAAATATGCCATAACAAAGCCTCAGTCACATGTAAATTGCGGATCTATTTCAGGCGTCTATACCGTGGAAAAGCTTCAACCGAGTTCAAGTCACCACCGCCGAGAGTTTTATCCGCTGTTCTTGGTCTTTGGTGGCTGGAACTCAAGAGCAGCCGCTACAGTATCTCCTGCAGCTTCCTCCATTTTATTTGCTCGTGAGTCCCATCCATCTAGTTTAGCCCGGAGCGGGGATACTCTCGGCGGTATGCTGTGTAGTCGCTGAAAATAGGTCAGCAATTTACATGTGATGAGGCCCTGTTGGGATAAATTTTCTACCTCGATAATTTGGGACCTTTATTCAGAGGATAGCCAAAATTTATTGTTGAATACTGAAATAGATGTGCCAAAAGCATCATAATTCCTCATTCACGTTTCCGTATCAGTTATAATAAACGTAGGTGTTAATTTTTGTGACTGTAATGAGTAAACGGTGTCTTCGAATGATTAGTTTAAGTTTGTTGGTTTGTGTAGTCTAGATTTACTAAAAGCTGACAGCCCGAAAAATATTTACTAGCAGCGATGTGGTTTTTTTTTTAAAGAATAACGTGAAGAAGAATACCATAAAATGTAGAAAATAAACAAAGCAGCTCTCTTTCTTTCATATAGATTAAACCTTGTAACAGTGTAAACTGATAAGATAAAAAAAAAAAGATACACGACAAGCAGTAGAGAAGACCATGTCAGTGTTTTTCTAACATGATAGGAATGGCCCCGAAAACTTGGCAAGATTGATCTAATGATCGGTGAACTACCCTGTAAAGGGCCTAAAAGTCCACCAAAACAGAGGTTCGAATGTTTAATACCTGCTATAACTGCATATAGTTTCCAACAAAAGGTGTTTGACCAGTGTGCGATAAGCTAACAGTAACTTGAATATTTACTTTAAAGTTGTTAAGCCATTACTTTTTTCATCATTCTCTTGACAGGTTTCATTCTCAGGATAAGAAGCCAACTTTAAGCAGGTTAACCTGCTTTATTACAAAATGTCCTGTATACACTACAAGTTTAAAAGTAGTCTTGACTACAATTCTGTGACCTTTGATGGCATGCACATGTCTTTGGGGGATCTTAAGAAGGCCATAAGTCTACAGAAACGATTAAAACCAGGCGAATTTGATTTGGAAATTACAAATGCGCAGACTGGCGATGGTAAGTATTTCTTTTTTATTATCTTAACATTTCAGGTTGAATTGGTAAGGGCTGGGTGTCATTATATTCAAAGCAAATTAAGCTACAGCAGTGGCAGAAGAATATGCGTGGGATATGTTTTGGAGCACATTCCTGAATTAAATTTCATATGACCCCTACATAAGTAACTTTAGAATTATGTTCAGGTTTTTTAAATTTTACTTTGATAAGCTAATTGCTAAAAGACGTGTGGTTGGTTCTTTAATCTATCAGGATAAATTTTAGAGGAGAAGAGGCAGACCAAGGAAGAAAAACCAATTAATAATTGATAAATGAAGTGGTCAGCATCACACTTACTTTCCAGGGCATTACATGCTATCAATTTTAACCTGGGTCAACCTATGAGATGAATAAAAAGACAATCTCACTAAATTGAAACCAGAGACCAACATGGGAGCATCTAGCTACTACATACCATGGCTCCCCATCAGTATAATGTATGGCGTCTTTATGCTTTGAGGTATGGACAAGAATATGTTGAGATTGAGAAGAAACCTTTTGAACAATTAGGTCTTTCTTGTGACCATGTCTAGCTTCCCTTCGCTGACCAGGTCATGCACAGTAGAACAGGAGATAACTATATTGGCCTTAACATTGTGTAAAGTTTATAGAATGACAGAAGTCTCAGAAACGATCTGGATGATAATAATACATCTGACAGAAATACTGAGTATTTAAGACTTTTTTAGCCAGAGGAAACACATCAGCTTTTCATGTGCCAAGTAACACAGCATCACATATAAATTTACCCCTGCGGCCCAGAGAAGCCACAAAACCGACACTTCTGACTAGGTCATATTCCTCGTAAATTTCACTGTTCTGAGTTGTTTACAGTGACATGATTAGGAAACGCATGATTAGGTAATACTTTTGCTGAGTTCAAGCTGGTACAAATTTTTCGGAGGTCCGGGTATGAATTTGTTAGCTAAAAATAGCATTTAAGTCACTAGATGTTTATCATTTTTAGGTTCTGTGAATGTATTCCTTTAAATGCTTCACTCTGTTCACGTTTATTGGTAACTACATGTATCACAGTCTGTTCTACAAATATCACTTGTAGCAGACTGTGATCGGATGCAAGTGTGTCCTGACCTATTGGTCTTATTGTTCAAACATTTGGCCCTTTCAATAATTGATTATGGCCCGGGAATTTCATCCCTCTCTTCTTTACAGGGTACAAAGCTTAAACAGATTCAACGGTCAATTAGAACAATGAGGTATATGCTTGGGCTGACATCGGTAAAGTCTAGACTGTCACTGGTGTAAGGCATCCACTGCATGGCAATCTGAAAGGTTTAAGAGGAGACCTCTGAAAAGAGGAAAGTCATGGATGGCACTAGATGAAGATACCATCGAGACAGCAGCCTCAGTTGAGCTAATACACAAGGGGCAGGAATGGGTCAACCTGAACTTCCTGGTGTGGGTTTCGGGGTCTCATTGTGAGGAAAACAAGAATCAATTGTCTGCCTCCCCAACTAGCATGTCATAAGAGTTGAATAATTGGGGACTTCCTTTAAAGTCAGAGTGCCACTGCAGGAACCAGGCATACAAATAATCAAGAGCTGTAAAATGGATGCACACATAAAACTCAGGTCCTGGAACAAAGCCAGACTCCAGAAATTGACAAACTGAGTGATACGGAGTGAGTAAAATTTTCATAAGGGAATAGACTGCCTCATCTGGGTTACTATTTGTAAAATTGCTTGTTTCAGTATACAAGAAAAATGATGAACTAATAGCAAAAAATACATCCGTGATTGTGTCCAGAGTTCCAGTGAATAAAACCACAGCTAGCAGTACACAGAAGTCATGGTAAGTAACTTTCGATCTGTAGGTAGATAAATGAGACAATATGCTTTGTAACACCGGAACAGGGGCTTAGCATTCTTGGTGGGGTGAGGAAGGTAATGATGTGTGCAATAACAGTCGAACCCTTTGATCTTACACTATTTTTTTAAAAGAACCCAAATTTAAATAATCAAGAATGCACCTTTATAGTTCTCACAAACTATCTTGAAGCAAAATATAATTTGGAGTCATGGTTGTTTAAAAATTTTTTTTTTTATTACTAAAGAATTAACTGCTTTCACCCCCCTTTACCACAAAGGATGGTTTTATTAACATATCCTAACCAAGCAAGGTGACACCATAAGTTTATTATATCATATTTTTTTCTCCCTCCCCTAATTTGTTTGTACAATTGTACCCGTCATGTCTATACACTGTGCAATTGCAACCAGCTCTGCATTTATGGGGCCACTTGGTAAAGACACTCCGTTCTGCTATAAAATTATAGTGTGATTTTAATCCTCTCAAACTGGCATGGTCTCTCTTGACTCTGAAACACGAGCCTGACATAATTTCCTGAATGACATGTTGAATGGTTTTGCATGAGTAGACCATGGTCTTTCTGACCAGAAAGCTGTGAGTAGCCATCAAACCTAAACTGATGTACAGCCTCGTCAGAGACCTTTTTCTTTCTTGACTTGACCAATTAATGATACTGTTTAAAATATTCACATCACAGAATCATTTCATTACATAATCTGAAACTTGGGATGAAAGAAGCAATAGAGCTGTTCATGTTTCCCGGCCCATCTTCACACTTTTCAGTTTGATCTGGGTTAGGTGTCGCTCTGTACTTCTTTCTTCGAAAAGAGTTTCTCGTGCAACCTAGGTTCAGGAGGGGGGTGGGGTAAGGGCCAGTTCTGTGTGTTCTGGGGTTGTTGAAAGCTGTGTCGTCAGTAATCCATCACTGATCATTGGCGGTACTTACAGGCATGGACACATCATTTTGGCCTAATAATACTATTATCCAGGATTTTCTCTACTCAGTGGTTAAAATAAAAGCTTGCTCGATTAGATCCAAGTCATAACACACTCTCAAATGTTGTAATGTTTCAGGTTGTGGACAAAGGCTTTCACAAACATCTGATTTGTTTTGGCTGTACCTTAGGCTGAGAACAATACAAGTGCCTTGCTTTTCCAGTTGTATTCATGTGTGGTTTTTGCAGGCGTTATTTAATATCTCATTTCATCTCTTACACTTTAATACCATTGCTTTGCTAGACTATGGACATACAATATTAACCATATTCTGAGCAGGTAGGTATAGTGACACTGGCTTTCATAGTGATGTTTACCTGCTTGGTGATAAGATGTTAACATTATTTTAAAAAGGAATTATTTTTTTCATTGACCTGAGCTCCTAGGTTGACAGTCTTAGATGGTAATCATAAAAATGTTGAGGGAGTAAATATGCCTGGCATCCTCCATTGATTCTTATTGTGTGTACCTGGTATAAGTTTGAGGTTTGTTTGACCTTGGAGCCAAGGTCAGTTTTGAATAATATCCACTTTAATATGGATTTGAACTCTAGACCTTCGGCCTGACAAGCAAGCTCATGAAGAGAAAAAAGTCACTATTAACAAATATCACGAATTGAATCCATTGCCAAAATACTTTGCTTTAGGATGTAAAAGGGAAGATGCTGCTAATTTACAGACATCTTTAGGGTGTATTAACTGCTATTTTTTGTTACAGCCATGTGACAAATAGTGGCAGGAAATCATGGAGGGTTTTATTTAGCAATTTCATTTATACAGTGCACTAATTACACGTTTCTTTCTTGACAGGGAGGCGTTCAAGCAAGAATGTGCAAAAGTAGTACGTGTCTCCATGTGGTAACTTGTGGTCTTGCTAGATTGTTTTTATATAATTTATTATGGTAAATTATTGATAGTATGAAATATAGACTGTTGCCTGCTTTGCGAGGGATCTTTTCTTATTCTATGCTGTCTTGTTTGTGGCTCAACTTTCATTACAAAACAATCATTGTATGTCCATTGTCTGCTCTGTATATTTCCATTTCTTCACTTCTTTTATGTTAGCTTGAATCATTCTGTCCTTACTGTTGCTTTTACTACTTTTTTTAAAAAAAACGAAGCTCAAAGATTCTTTCTACAAAAATACATACATTTTGGGGTATTCAGTGTTTTAGTAGTAGCTGCTTGTGACAGCAGTTTACTGTATTTGAGCAAATTCTTCGATGATAGCATGTCTTCTACATGATAGATTGTTAGCATGTCTTCTACTTCAGCCCTCTGCCAACCTGTCCCAAGCCCTTTTTATGCTGGATTTCATGATTGGGAAATGAATGAATCACATTGAGTCTGTTTGAGGGAGGTTTTTTTAAACCTTTCCTTTACCAGTTTTTAATTGGTACCTTGTATATGCAACTACCAACAATGGGTCACTGAACTGATATCCACCCGTCCCCTTTTCTGAAGCTTCACATGAATGCCCGGTGGTGTATATTAGTAATGTAAGTTAGTAACCAGTTGTGTATGTACTTTTTTTTAAAAACTAGTGGCATATATTGTGTGAAAACTTGATTCAAAGGTTTTTTTAAATGTAATATAATTTGATGGCATTTGTTATTTACACACTTGTACTGCTGTATTGTGGTTAACCATTTCCATTTTAAAATGTTTGTGTGTGTGTAAATTTGTCACCAATTTCAATAAATATTTGATGGTTCAAATGCACTCACTGCTCCCCCGGTGCCCGATTTTGTTGGATTAAAGCATAAACCCACTGCCTCTCCCCCCCCCCCCCCTTCAAAACCCAAATAGACATTTAGTAATTAGGGGTTTGCTGAAATCCGGTGTGTTGGGCTGAAAGATACAGATATTCTAGCTATAAACTACAACGCAACAAGCCAACCATTTTTTAAGGGTGAATCCAATAGTACTCAGTGTGTTTAAGCCATGAATTTGGTGGATGGGAGGGTCCGCATGGACATTTTAGCATGGCCTGCCGGTTGAAGACAGCTGCTTTAGGACCTCTCTAGAGACTAATTTATTTTCGAATTGCTTGTTCATTGTCGAGGTTTCTGTGAGACACATCAAGGTTCAGATGATTTTCATTTAGTAATTGTTATTTTTGAAGTATTGTTTATCTATCTGATGTCAATAATTTTTACATCTTTAAGATCTTTTTTGTTTTTATTGTGACGTCGTTGCTAACTTTAGAGTGTTACTTGGTGAGGTTCCAATTTCTACAACGATGGCTAGCCATGTTCTCTGTTGTGTCGTAAACAAGCTTCATTAGATTGATTGCTGATTTTTATTAATGTGAAAATTGTTAGAAGGGTAATGAAAATGTTTGAGTTTGTCTTATTATATCAGAACACTCTAGGTTCTATAGTAATCCAGTACCTGTAGACATTACTGTAATGTCAACTCGAGCAGCCATAGCGGCCAGTGAAATTGAATTTATCATCATCATGTAGCAGGTCCTTTGCAGAATGTCGCTCTCATCACAGTCTGCCTGAAAGAAACTCAGTCTCTCGCTGGTTCTCCCGCCTAATGCACTTTCACACTCAAGGAGTCACTTATATCCTATGTCCATCTTCTTGTCGGTCGGCCCCTGCCCCTCCTTCCTGGTACCATGCCTTCTGCTATATTTTTTTCAAATCCGTTGTGGCACTTGATATGACAAAATATTTCAGCTTTCGGGAAAGGATTCTGTTTATTTGCCAATCTTCCTTGATGTTCAGATCTTTTAAGATGTCAATATTTCTCATCTTCTTTGTTCAAGATATTCTGAAAATCTTTTTATAGCATTTCAGCTCAAAAGCCCCTATTCTTTTTCTTAGGGACTGATTGAATTTATACATTTGAAAAAATTGTGATCATTTTGTACCATCACTAGAACCTGTTAGGAAAGTTTTGTTAAAGCCCCAAAAAAACACAGTGGAAAAACTTTTGTTACATCGCTTGGCTTAGTTACTTTATAAATATACAGTGCTGGTCACCCAGTATGTACTGAATGTAGCTACTGAGACATTATCTCTGAGATAAGGAAAGGGTTTGCCAAAGTTGGAAGAATTCTTTACATAACATGGTCATTTAATCGATCGCCATCCATGTTTTTACTGCTGGTTGTATTTTTTTTTGTTATTAGAAAAATACGTTTTATTACTGGGTACGGCTACTAATTTGTAAAGTCATCTTTCTTTCTCTACTGTCAACAAAACATTACCTGCAGGCATAAGCAGTATTTAAAAAAAAAATACAGTAGTCTAATTTGTCTTTATATTATATGAAGTATATCACTTGAGTGAATTATCACTTAATTAAGGCTTGTTGTTTACCAACAAATGGCAGTCTTGGCTTATCGAAAATGTATGGTGGCATTTTGTTACTAATTATGTAAGAATGTTTGTTGTTGGTGAATCTGTGATTGATGCCAAATCTCACATACATCCTAAAGTTGTATTTATTTAAAGCTGTGATGTTTTTATATATAATGTTTGTGATTTTATTTTTACACATAACATCTGTGATATTTTGATTAAATAGATTTAATTATATTGAGAGCATGTGCTGCTGATATAATTTTTTTTTAAATGTCAACTTTTTAAATGCAGGGAAAAAAGTAGATTTACTTACAGTCATGGATGTTATAGCTGTATATATATATATGTGTATATATATATATATATATATATATATATATATATATATATATATATATATATATATATATATATATATATATATATATATATATATATATATAAAATTCATTATCACTTTTCTCTATGTAGTATTGTTTTAGAACTATTTGCTTGTTCTTGTGTCTTATAGTGTTATTTATTGTTAGCTTGTTTGTTTTAGAAATTAACATGTATACAATTTCGCTAATTTTGCTAGCTCACAAAAATTGCATATTGTTAATGCAATTTAACCCCCCTCCCCCCGACACTTACACGTTAATTCGTTGCTCAGAAAATGAATGTTTAAAGCTGTTAAAATCTGAAAACTTTCTTTTATTCAGTAGTTTGTGGTAATGATACCTGATTTATAAATGAATTTCTGATTGTATATTAACAAGCCACATTGCAGCACATGCTCTTGTCTGTTGTTAGCACACTGTCTTTTATGATCTAAAACTTGTGGCTGGTTATGAATCCCCTATTTGAAATGTTCCCCTAATCTTTTTAGAGGTGTCACTTCGCAGAACCGTACATAAGCACCCATGTTTGCATCAGTGAATTTTCTTAATTTTTGAGGTGACCAAGAAAATACACCCCCCCCCCCCCCCCCCCCCAATTTAATAAATATAAATACCTGAGAGTTTTGTAATACAAACATAATCTCAAGTCATGAATCATGAAACACAATGAAGGGTAATATTTACTCATGTAATTTTAATAATGTATTTACTTTTTTATCTTGTTTTTCTCTCTTTTCTCATTGGAGTGTAATTCTGTAAACAGTCACCTATTAAATGCCCAGCGCTTTAACATATGCAGATTTCTGTATATTTTCTTTGTTTCAGTTTTGTGGTTTCTGTCCCTCATTTTCTGCTTATAATGGTTTATTACCTATGGATACTGGTAACCGTTTGAAGTCAATAATCGTATGCCATTCTTAAACAGATGCTTTCTTTTCTTTAAAGGTTTCTGAGTTCTAAATAGGATTTATAATGTTACTTGTTATTTTTACTTATGACCTGAGAGTTTTTGTTTAAAGCATAATTAATTATTACTTTTTTCTCTTGGCGTGTACGTTGTTGGTTCATTCAGTAGTTTGCTTGATTCCAGGCTTCTATTGTCATTATTTAAATAGCTGTTTTCATGACCACGAAGAGCTGTTATTATCCCTAAATGTTTTAGAGGTGCCTCTCCCCCCCCCCCCTTCCAATCATCCATCTCCTTTCACCCGATTGCAGTGTGAATGGATGTGCATGATTTCAAAACGGAGCAGACTAGGCAGTTTGAACATTTGAGTATGCTGTAGTATTCAGTTTTCAGAAAATGTCTGCAATTCTTTTTGCCTAGACCTTATGCGTTGCTCTCTTTTGTATATTTTAAAAGTTTTATTCATTTTTAGTTAGTCAAAGCGTTGATCTTAAAATTAAGATAACTTTGATAAGGCACTGGTTAACTATGCAACCACTGAGGCTCTATTTGCTGGAGTCCCTGAAGACTTAGGTAAAGAGTAGCAATTCCTTTCTTAGTGGGTGTATTGTGACTCTCTTTAATCATTGTGCATCCAGATCACCATGTTCGTTTAAAGTTAAAGTTGTTTGGTATCTAGTAAAAGAATCTCTTCTGTAGACATGACACTACTGAACTTGGTTGCTGTGTCTGCTCCTGCAGCATGTATTCTTCACTTCATTTTGTCTTGATGCTACATAAAAACTGTCATATTTGATGTTTTTTTATGTGATAGAATGCTTTTTTTTAAAATGATTAAAACGGAGGTTGTAGGGCTTTCCCATATTCAAATAAACACCGAATTCATTTTTAAAACAAAATGAACATTAAATAATTGCTTGTGTGAAGATTTTGTTATATAATATTAGTAAAAAGTACTGCAATTTGTATATATAGAACAATGTTTTAGCTTACACCTAGTCTGCTTGTCTTGTATGTAAAAAAAAAAAAAAACCACATAACGCCTAAACTTTAAAATATAAGCACTCTTTGTTAAATAAAAGCTCTGTTAAGTGCTGGTAAATTAAACTAGTTATAAACTGAGGAGTAAACCTTTAAAGACTTGGTCAGTAATAAATTACAAACATTCATTAACTGGTAACTGCGCAGAAAGAGGAAATTAAATGGCAACCTGGAATCACTATTCTGGAGCTCTGAAGAATTAAACATCAAGAGATAAGGAACATGTGCTGGCTTTGGATTGGACAAACTTTGAGAAAATCTAAAGATAGAATTAGAATGCCCTTACACTGCAACCCACAGGCCCTCTGAAAGCACAGAGGGCTAAACCTATATTTTATGGACTAACTAGGCGGGACTTAGTGTAATAGAATTTATTATTTCACACAACAATGAGACTGCAGATCCCATGAAACTGACAGGGAAGGTTAACCTGTTCAACAAAAAGCTGCAAATATCACATCCATGCTGTAAATGGACACACTGCAGCGTCATTTATGTCTTCTGCACCGGGGCTGGGCTTTTTTTTTTTAATACGCGACACGGCCGACTCTTAGCCATAAGCAGATAGAAAGGATACAGCGCGAGGCTATGCACACTATGCTCGGGTGAATACACTACCTTCTTGATTTTTCAACCCCGGAAGACAAAATACAAATTTCCAGAGCATGTGCCTACTTTACCTTCAACATGGACACAAAACGTCCATTGCATAGTGAAATTAAGGAGATAAAAGGCAGCAGGTTTAAAGGAGAGAAATCGTGGATGCGACAAACTGAGCGAGGACATTATTTTACAGGTGTGTTTACTTGAGGATATCGAATCCAGCGAGGAGTGGATGAGGAGTTCTGTACATCCTTTTTTGTTTGGATTCAACTAGACAGAAAATGCAGACAACAGAGTCCGGTTGCTGTGGAAGCAGAAGTTGTGAGCCCTGATTTTTGAGAATGTTCTAGCGAGTGATGATGTCATTTACACAGTAGCTCGCAGGCTTTCACGACTCAGGCTGGAGGGAGAGTTGTGAAGGAAGATTCAGAGCTTTTGCCATAACTAAAAGTAGTCTAACTATGGAGGTCATGGCTGTGACTAAAGCAGTAACATGGCTAGACACTCAGACTTTTATTGGGGCATGCTTTCTCAGTGACTCAATGAGTATGTTTAGGAAGATAAAGAAGGGCTAGGTCCGAAAGTAGTGGTTGATGGCTCTACAGCGTTTACGGCTGACAAGGATAAGTTTCATTTTTGTGCCAGGAAATGTGGGGGTACAAGGAAATGAGCAAGCTGATAAACTTGCAGGTAAGGCTACTGTGAAAGCCGGTCAAGTCACGGACCATGCTGGTATACTGAATGTTCTACGAGATTTAAGACGTTTGCATGAACCAATTGAGAACTGCGAATCTGCAACCTTGGTCGGACTCAAAGAACACGCTGCGGGATATACTGAGGAGGGGATAATAGTGGTTCCAATGTGCTGTGAGGATAATCTGTCGACTATCTAGAGTGGTGATCAAAAAGTGAAGCATATGAACCCAGTGTAATTTAATTAGCTGTATTTATGTAAGTGAGTCATGCTAAATGATTGTCATGTGTCTTTGATTCATATTTGACTCACCCTAACAGCATACATTCATTCAAGTAATAACTCCTTGTTGTCTTATGTATTTCTTACACATTCACTGTTAGTCAGTGAACATCATTTTACAATCTTGATTTTGTGTGTTCCCCTCAACATGTTTGCAGCTATTACGTGTATTATTAGTGTGTAATTTTCATTTTGTAGCCTTTGTCACCATGTCATATTTGAAATACGATGTGAAATATATACAGTACTGCCACCGAACATTGAGATTTTACTGCAGATCTATCTTAGTTGAATGTTAACAAAGGGAAGTCATTAACTGTGCTTGCTCATTCTGGCCAGTCATTTTTTCCAGACTGCCATAACCCATCTCTGAACTTGTTGTTATGAATGTTTGCACAAATGAGGGACTAATATAAAAGATAAAAGAGTATTTCATGTGTTTGAAAATTAAAATATTTTATGTTGAAGTTTTTACAAATTGACTGAGGTCAGCCCTGCCTAAACCAGTGCCAAGAAAGTAATGGCTCTCACCTTAAATATCAACCATCAAGTATCTATAAACTTGGGAGGCCAGCACATTATATCCCCTGCTGTTGCGGGTAGCATTCCTGTTCAGATAGAAAATATATAGATTACTAAAAAAAAAAAAAACAGCAGCAATGATTTGGCTTGGGCGGCTTTTAAAATGTTTTGCCTGGATATATATATACACACTTTTCTAAAAAAAAA